ACTGGGGAGGGAGGGGGGAGGGGGTCCCCCCAGTCAATGCTATTGGGATGATTGCATGCGTGCCTCTCTGCAGCTTGCGGTACGCGGCGGCAGCTGAACGTTATACTAAAGGACATTTCCGCGACTTGCTCCAGACTGTACAGCGTGCCATCGGCGCAACAAGGATTAAAAAACCCCCTCCCAGTTTGATGGCGATATTCCAAGACGTACCCATAACACCTTTCAACTCTATGGTTCGAAAAGTACGCTGGCCGTACAACTTGCCGTGTTCTCTCGCGAGTCACTCGCGAGTCAGTCCCTCCGCCCCGCGGGCCGCCGACCCTGTCCCCGTCGCGGGGGGGTCCCCACCTTGACCGCACCGTCCAACCTTTTACAGCACGTACACCGCCGTCGCTCCGCAGGCGTAGTATACCCAGTGCGAAACGTGATGTATAGGGACGACATCGAAAAGACGACGGGATGTATGTATCGTTACGATATCGTTTCGACGTCGTTATTTTCCCTCATTTGGTACACTGCCGAGCACAAGGCGGACCCGCCCCCTCCCCCCTGTACTTCCGGTAATTCCCTGCTGTCCATAAACGACTCGGCGATGGTACTGCCAACTGGTTGGTGCGTCTTTCAACGCCAAATAAAAACCCGTCACTGAATTTGAACGAGAAACAAGACTCAATTTAGAGTGTAGGGGGAGAGGGGGGGGGGATACTTTTGTCACGGTTCGACAACCATGCGGTGTGATGGTGTGATCTTGTTATAGGGTAGAGAGATACCTGGGATCACAAAAGAGCGACCTTGATAAATGTGGCTTCGATATACGCCAACACTGAAAAACCGGTCGGCCTCTTTTGCCGCCACAGTAATAGCCAGATATTGGCGTCCTCTCAAACACCATGCCAAAATTTGGCGTCTGTGAATGTTTTCTGACTTACAGGGTGGTCACCCAGCTCCGTTGGAGCAAACGGGTGTACTAGCCCGTAGCCCGTATACGCAGGAGAGCGGGCGTGTTGCCTAGGCTACGGGCGCGAAGCCGTGGGGCGCCGCCGTGGCCCGCTCGCTTGCCATGCGGGCTGGTACACCCGTTCATTCGTTCATCGGGGCTATGGGCGACCATCCTGTTTCAGTCTAAAGGCAAAGCCAAAGACGATGACGCTTAGCGCAGCCACTTCAAAGGCATCTCCCTAGACCGATTCCACGACATTTAAGAAATAGCCGCCCCCTCGAGTATTCGGTGGGATGAGGGGGGGGGGACTGCCCTGGAGGCGAGAAAGTGTCAGTTTCTGTCCCTTTCGCGAGGCTAAAATGGTTGCCGGTGGGTCGAAATAGGCCCTGCAGATAATCTTACCATCTTTCAAGTACTTTTGGCCAGGTTCGTTTTCGCGATCTCAGATATTTACTCCACTCCATTACTTGCGAGGGGTCCCCCACTCGTCAACTCGTTGTACACGAGGAAAAATACTCGCAAGATACTCGCGGCAACTCGCGACAACTCGCGAAAAATTCGCGAAAACTCGCGAAAAAATCGACAAATACTCGCCTAATACTCGCGGATACTCGCCATTACTCACATAAATTCGCGGATACTCGCTAATATTCTCGAATACTCGCGGATACCCACGCAACCCGTTGTACACCCACATGGAGAGTGGAGGACCCCTCGATTATTTGCAGTCATTGGCATGATACTTCACAGCATCACGATGGGGAAGTAGGGGGGGGGGGGGCAAAAGTGAGAGCGAGAGCGAGGGACGTAGGCAGGCTACGCCTGCGCTTTGTTTGTAGGCTCGAGCTCGGCTGTTGCATTTACACAATGCCAGCCTCTGATGGCAGCAGAGATGACTTCTTCAACTTTGAAAAAGGCCAACACGACTGCATAGCAAACTCGATCTAGCCGAAACTTTTTTGACACACTCGACTTCCCCTCCAAAGCTCCCCCCCGTGCGCGATCCGCAGCGCTGCAGTTGTGACCGGCGCCGCGACTCGGTGCTCGGTGGTGCGGCGGCGCTGTGCAGCATGGGTACACGGTACACTGTGTAAATCTAGCATCCAGGGTCCAGCTCAGGGGCTGGTCCACGTCCACTGCCAGGGCAACCCGTACAGGACGAAGGGGATCATCACAGGATGTGTGTTGTGTAGAGTCCACGAAATGTTGCTTTCTGCCCCACCTGCTCCGCGAGGGCAAAATCATCGTCATTGTCATCATCACAATCATCATCACCATGGTCATCATCATGGACATCATCATGGTCATCACCATATCATGGTCATACAGGGGGGTCACAGACCCCTTCCTTTATTTTGCTTATTCTGTACCGCATGCAGGCGCGCGGGCGGGCTTGCCCACCGTCGCTTACCACGGCGCCTTATGGCCCCGTGCGAGTATGCAACCCGCCCGCCCGCCTGCATCCGGTACAGTATCAGCAAAAAAATGGAAGGGGTCTGTGGACCACCCCGTATTATAATCGTCATCATCATTATGGTCATCATCATCATAATGGTCATCATCATTATGGTCATCATCGTCATGGTCATCATCATCATGGTCATCACCATATAGTCATCACCATCATGGTCATCATCATCATGGTCACCATCTCCCTGACGGTCACCATCGTGCTGCGCGTCGCCACGTGTTGCTCGCAGTGCAGCAGTGTTGCTGTTGACGTGACGTCCGCTCTCTTCAATGGAGCACGCCGCGGCGCACCCCAACACAGCCCGCAGCTTAAAGCGTAGCGCCGCGTCTGTGTATAGCCCCCCCCCCCCCTAACCTTTCTCCACTCGCTCCACAGCGCGACACGCTAACGTCCGCCGCAATACAACCACGGGCCGTGTATCTCCCTCACGACTCTCTTATGTCCTCCCCCTCTCTCCTCCCCCTCCCCCTCTCCCCTCACTCATTCACCAACTCACTTCACTTCGTTCCACTCACTCACTTCACGTCACTCCACCCAGTCGCTCACTTCACTTCACCTCACTTCACTTCGTCTCACTTCACTCCACTTCACTCCCATATTGCCCTCATATGCACACGCGCAGCGCGGGGTCTAAGGCTAGCAGCGAGACAGCTGGCATGATGGTTGAGTTGAGACCCCTCCCCCCGCCCGGCCCGCTCTGTCAGTTGCAGGACCTGGAGGATCAGCCGACCACCGCTCCGCTTTATCGGCAGACTCGCAGGCGACCCGCTGGCCTAACCAGACAGGTGCAGGGCCCAGCGTCCTGCTCCTGCATGACTGTCCTAGCGCATGGTATGGGTGTTAGATTTGAAGCACCGCTGGAGGGTAGAAGCCGCCACACTGAAACTAAGGTGGCTGAATAACCCCACCACCACCACCACCACCACCACACACGTTTGCTGTTATACTGATCCGCACGCTCGCGTTTTGCTCACCTTGCCTGGAAATCAATTAATGTCCTATAGTGCGACCACGCTAGGAACGAGCTTGGTGTTGCTGCAGCGGTGGCTCGCTACAGCTCTCTACCTGCTCCCGAGGGTCCATGCGACAGGGTGGGCGGGACCCGAGCAGGTCAATGAGTTGCGGCGGTAGCTGAGGAGGCAGTAGTTAAGAAGAGCTCCCATAAGCCAAGCTCGTTCCTAGCGTGGTCCCAGTATAAGTGCTGTCTGGTCTGAGGCGTCCAAGACCATCGTTCTACCCCAAGACCCCAAGTTTTCGCCCTGGTAACGTAAACGAATTATTGACAATTGCATGCATCGTCGAGCCCAGCTCAGGCAGGTCTGGCCTGGCGTCGCAGGGAGGGGGGGAAATTGAGCACAGGCGCAAATTTTGACAGATTTGCTTGTTCGGTCGAATTTGAACAGAGGAACTGTTTTGGTGCTGTTCGTGTGAGAGAATTTTTTTTGCCGTTCACGTTCTGTTTGGTTCGAATGTATATGTTGGGACTGATTTTGTCCGAGGTATAAATTCGAACTATGGCCTGTTCGCTCATCACTTCCTAGGAGGAGCAGGAGCAGGAAGAGGAAAATGGGGACAACAACATATTCTCATTTCTCCGCATTTCTCAGAGTCGGAGTTGGACTCGGCCGGGGGCGCGGGTCACGACATTGCTGGAGGAACGCGACTTATTGTAGCGCGAGTTAGGAGCGAAATAGGCTACCACTGTTGTCTCAAGTGCGATAAATTTCATACAACTTCATGCGATAATAGCCAAAAAGCGATTCCCACAAAATATTGCAACTTGGGGAGCCATAAAAAAATTATCGCACTAGCCTAAATTGTCAATCGTCATTGCATTAAGTGCGATAATTTTAGCACATTTTTCTGCGATAATTTATCATTGCAGCAAAATGTGTTAAGATTATCGCATTCAATGTAATGACAAATGTCAATTTAGTGCGATAATTTATCATCGCAGCAACAGGTGTTAAAATTATCGCATTTAATGCAATAACAAATTATTGCACTAAAT